GGAGACGTCAGAATTTTATGAAATTTGGAATAAATGTTATAATTGGCTAGAACAGAGAAAGAAAAAGACATAATTATTGATGTACATAAAATGTAAATAAGATGTAAAGAATATTTAAAATGTAAAGCACTGTTCTGTTAGAAGAAAAGATTTATGTTTATGTAGTTTTTGGTGTATGGTGTATGGTGAAAAATAAAAATTAAAAAAAAACTCTAGAAAGGAGAAAGGCCTGAAACCTGAGCATTGAGATAAGACGTTCCTCTCTCCACAACTTCAAGGTACAATTGAACTTACATTCTTCATTTGGATGGAATCCAAGAAAACCTGAGTGATTGCACTGAACTTTTAATGCTCTTGCTACATAGATGTGGAGTCTAACAAGGTTGGTTTATGATCTCCATAAAGAAACACAAAACATCTAGCAGTGCCAGATGGAGATTCTTTATCTTTTAGAAAAAGGAATAGCAAAGCCACTGGGGCTGAAATAACGAGTAAAAGCAGATGAGCTAAAGCGCTCCAGATGTACAAAATGCCATATTTAATATTTCTGGAATTAAGGACCTCTCTCAGAACTCAGCGGTCATCTACAGAAGTTAAATGAAGCAAGATGAAAAGCCAGTGAAAAGATGTGCTTCTTTGTAATATACATAAACTGTGGAATTCTCTGGCAATGCCATCATATGAGAAAGTGGCCCAGTTTAGATGATTTTAAAGACTAGCTGGAGACAAATAAATAGAAACAAAATGTTTATTGGGAACCAACCATAATTATGTTAAATCAAAAGACAATAATTGCTGAGGGCTATTCACTTATGTCATCTAAACAGTAATTCATTACAGCATGTATTCACATGTGTTGTGCAATATATTCATATACAAATAGAAGTAAATGCAACTGCCTCAGCTTACTGCCCTCCAGATTTTTAGGACTTCAGATCCCAGTGCTTTTTTTCTAAAAAAAAAAAAAAAAAAAGGTGCCGGAATTCACACACGTCATACAACCCGCCTTGCCTACCCTACAAGGTTCCATCCAAAAAAGGTGCTGGAACTCCGTTCTGGATGTTCTATGAGAAAAAAAGCCCTGTCAGATCCCATTATCCTTCCATTATCATGTGCTGGCTGGAATAATAGGACTTTAAATCTAGAAAATACTTATTTATATTTGAGCTCTAAAAGCACATATTCATGATAGGTGAGTATAAGAAAAAGTTGACAATACAAACATTCCCTGTAATTTTCAGCAATTTAGGGGAAAGTGTGAACTCAGCTCAACTCTGAAGCATGTTGGGAGATTGGCTGAAATTCATGTTCAAGGCCTTCAGATGTTCATAGACAAGCAGATAAACTAATGAGAAGAGAGAAAGAGAGAAACCAAATGTTACAATTGATACCTTCCAGTTTATCAGGAACTGGAAAAGTTCTGCCTATTCATATTTTGAATGAATGACATCTGTGAATGTCTATTCATGAGAAGCACTGTTGTTATGCAAAGCATTCTCCAGTTGAATAGGAAAATAAGTTAGTGCTCTGTCTCAAAATTATATTTATAGGGCACATTTTTTTTTAGAGAAGCACAAAACTGCATGTATTCCTCCCTAATTTTGTCTTCACATCAAGTTTGTAAGGTAGTTAAACTAACAGGTAGTATCAGATCTAAAGTTAGCCGAAAAACATCATGATCAAGTAAATACCGTATTTTCCAGCGTATAAGACGACTGGCGTATAAGACGACCCCCAACTTTTCCAGTTAAAATATAGAGTTTGAGTGAGAGAGAGGGGGGGGGGAGAGAAAACTTGATGAGTAATATGCCAAACCACATGTGTAAAGGAATAAAATAGAATACCCGTATTTTCCAGCGTATAAGACGACTGGGCGTATAAGACGATCCCTGACTTTTGAGAAGATTTTCAGGGTTTAGAAAGTCATCTTATACGCCGGAAAATACGGTATTTGAAAATGAGACTTCCAATCCTAGTACAATCCCAAGGCTATTAATTCAGCTATTAATAGATTAAATCATTTATTACAACAATTATAAAAATAATTATGGTAAAATGTTTTTCATGTTTTTATTTATTAATTTATATGTTACTTATATGTAAGGGTATAGGTCAGGGGTAGGCAGCCTCGGCTCTTTTATGACTCGTGGACTTCAACTCCCAGAATTCCTGAGTCAGCTATGCTGACTCAGGAATTCTGGGAGTTGAAGTCCACGAGTCATAAAAAAGCCGAGGTTGCCTACCCCTGGTATAGGTCTATACATATGTTGTATATAGTATGTTTAAATGTGTATGTATGTGTACACTTTGAGAGTAAGCAACTAAATTTCATTTTTAATGTGTGCCATTGTGCCCACAGTAAAAAATGACAATAAATGTTATCTATCTATCTATCTATCTATCTATCTATCTATCTATCTATCTATCTATCTATCTATCTATCTATCTATCTATCTATCTATCTATCTATCTATCTATCTTTTTAGTCTGAGAAATGTGAACTCTATACATTTTATCACAAACAATCAAGTTTAAAAACTAGATGCGGTGAAATATATCTAATAGACTTTATTGTCACATTCCTAGTGAAGGAGAAATGACAGGATGGTGTTCCAGTACCTACTTGCTCCTATCCCTTCCCATCTAGCTGTGTATATGTGAAGTGTTATGAGACAATTCACATAGCATTGCAGAGGTTGCCAAAGCAAAGTATCAGAATCTAGTTTGAACGCATGCACAAAAAGCAAATATGAAAGAGAGGCAAGTGAAGTGGATCAGCCACGGAGGAAACACTCCCAACGGGAAACACATGGGGAGTGATCTCCTGAAAGATTGCTAAACCTGAGTAGCACCTTCTGCAATGCTGTTTTGGATTCCAGAAGACTGTTGGATGCTGATTTCGTGGGTGTCAAGCATACAATCAGAAGGCTGCTGGACACAGGTTAAAATGCATATCCAGTTTTCAGAAGACTGCATAAAACAGGTGGGAATAAAGGCCTTTGGGGCATGTCAGTGGAAGTTGGGGGAGTGAATCAGGCAATTTAACTCCTGATTTAATCCCATATATTAAAGAAACAAGCAACTAGGCAATAAACCAATTGCCCCTTCCTCCTCAATATTTTCCATGTACTGAGAGTGACTGGTGGGCTTGCAATTGAGGCAGAGTGAGAAGGGAAAAATAAGTTGGAAATTCCACTAATCACTGGGCTTAAACTGCCCACAATATAGTTATGTAGAAAATACTACTTCATGGCTGCATTGTGGAGGCACATTATAGCTCAGCTTCAGAGGCCATCTTGTATTTTATGTGATCCCGCTTTTAAGAGACCTCAGGAACCGAACGAATGCATGATAACATATCAAGACATGAAGAACAATCTTAAGGAACCATCTGAAAGAGATTCAGGAAGTCATCTTTTCAATTAGCTCCATTATATCCCTGGTATAATATTCCAGTAAAAAGGGAATTGAGGAAAGTAGAAGAGACAAAAGAAAACTAAAAAAATCCTATTCTCAAACTATCTCTACTGACAATGTTTTGCTTTCGTTACCTCATTTATTTGGAGGTTAATGAAATCTCTGTTTTCCACACATAATGCCTGGAATACTCCTGCAAGAAGAATTTTAGTGTTATTTTCAGCCGTTGAAATATTCAAAACCTCTTTTTCAATAAAATGTCAAACTTAAAGCAAATGTTAATATTTATAGGTAAAATTCCAGAAGTCCCAGTGGGAAACTTTGATGATGTCTGCAAAACTAAAGATTATTTCAGACATTTCTTTATGCCAGGATAAATGTTCTTTATTGTTGAGTGACAAAAATGAAGGTGACATTTGGACATTTTTGAAACAACCTAACATGACTTTCAGTTACCTTGATTAGTGTCAGAATTTTCAAACATTTACTACTGGAACTCTTGTGAACTTATGAATGACAGGTCATCTCACCATCAGGTTTCTATTACTAATTGCAAACATTCTACAAATGGTTCTATAGAACTTGCCTTTCATGAAATGATCTCATATGATATAAAGTCACATGACATGCACAATGAGTACATGCTTTCTAACTTGTATTTCATATATGTAGACCATCAATGCTATAATCTTGTAGATATTTACTTAAATATATTCATTCTAAACTTACAGAATTGAGGTCCTTATTTTTTTTTATAAGTAACTTACATTATTAATTAAGTCCCAAAGAATGCAGGAGAGCTTATTTCTGAGAAGACATGTACAAGATTATATCATTGTTAGGTTTAACTGATTCAAACTCTGATTTATTTTTTTATGAGAAACAGAAAAAAAATGAAGTCATGATAAATGGGTTTAAAAGATAAGAATAAAAATAAAAGATTATAAGAGAAAATGTAAATGATGCTGTAACCAAAGTAAGAGGTCAACTTATATTTATACTTATAACTGCTGTAAAAGAAAATTGGGAGAAATTTCTTTATAATCCTGTTTTTTCTTCTCTTTGATTTCTCTACTTTTGTCTTTTCCTTTTTCCTCTTTCTTTCAATGTAAAGTTCTTGTTAGTTTTTATTTCACTAAAATTTTATTTAAATAAAAATATTGTTTTTTTAAAAAAGGATTTGATTCATTCAAAAATCAAATTATGAGTGAAGTTAAAATAATTAGAATGATTGTTCATGGTGCATCTACTACTGCTGCTAAAATGCTGTCAGTAAAGAAACAAATGGTACTAGGGAGAGATACTCACTGCTTGCATTTTCTAAGCGAATTAGGCAGTTTAAGAAGTCATCAAATTCGATCTGTTGCTGATCATCTGCATATCTTAATACAATCAGCTGCAGCAGATGGTTATTGAGCTGAAATCCTTAAAGAAAGGTAAATACGAAGTTTTTAAAAAACTTTTTCAAGTTGGCTAGTCTTCAACCCAGTAGTTTGAAAACATTCTTTTTAAATGTTATTGTCATAATCCAGTGGTGGCGAACTTATGGCATGCGTGCCAGAAGCGGCACTCAGAGCCCTCTCTGTGGGCACACGCGCCATGCCCCGGAGATGGCAACCGTCCCTCTTCAATCGGCTGCCCGCTAACTTGCCGAGATCCCACGTGGCCGGATGCATCCCAGCACGGCTGGTTTCCCGTCCCATCCCTCCTGGTCTCGCATGCTCTCCTTTTCCCGGGCACAACCCACTGCATTGCCTCCTCAGCTGTCGGCCGGCCGTCTAGCTCAGAGGCAGCTTCTCTGAACTGGTGGTGGGCTGTGGAGCCCCAGAGTGCGCCGGTCGAGGTGCCAGCAGGCTGTGGCTACTGACAGACACTGTTGGCCCCCATGCACTTGCTGGCCTCTGTGTGCAGGGGCTGATGCCTCACCTTGCCCTGCGACAATGGCACTCCCACCCTGCCTCGCCTCACCCTGCAGGACAAGCCTCCTGCCCACCACCCCACCTGCCAGAGACTCCCTGGATCTCCCCCAACCCTGCCCGGCCCCACAGGCATCCCTCCCCACGAGCAACATTGTGGTGACCACACCCATCTTGGCCACACCCACCCAGTCTGCCATGATCACCACAGCCACGCCCACCCAGTGGGCCATGCCCACCTGGCACCCGGTGATAAATAAGTGGGTTTTGGGTTGCAGTTTGGGCACTCGGTCTCTAAAAGGTTCGCCATCACTGTCATAATCCATACAAAGTTTGGCAACCTGAGAAAAATAATTATCTTTAAAACATACTTTTGGCCTTATAAGTGAGTGATACAGACCAGCAAGTCAGCCATCTTTTTATCTCACTTAATGCCTGGAGCCATGTTTCTCAGCCTTGGCAGTTTTCAGTTGTGTGGTCTCCAACTCCCAGTTTTCCCTGGCCACCAAGGTTGAGAAATACTGGCACAGAATATGGTCCTGGGGAAAATTATACATACACACAAATATATTATTTTGAGAAGAGAGAGACAAAGAGAGGAGCTCCTCTATACTTTCCCCATTCTCCCCTGTTGTGCGTCCTGGTCAATGACCTGCTCATTGCTGGATCAGAAATATGTCAAAAATAATTGACCTTATTCTGGACTTCTTAAGGCCCAAGTCTGAAAGGGATAGCTGAACTGAAGATACTCCTTCTCTTCTAATCTCCACCACATAGATAGGATTCAAGGGTGACTTCTCAAAATTGGGGCTGTGGCTGTGTTCAGCTATGTGGTCTTTTTATTTTTATTTGCCTCATTCACAGGGGTAGTTGTATTTATAAAATACATAGTAAAGGGATGAAGAAAAAGTCCCCATCTTGTCCCTTCAATCTTAATTAGGCCACTACAGATTGATTTTTCTTTCTCAAGATGTCAAAAACTAAACTAAAACAAACTGTGGGTTTTATAGTCATAATCATGGCAGAAATAGCTTTCAAGATGGCTGCACCCCATTGGAGTTGATATAGCTTCCACTGATTGGCTGTAATAAGCTCCGAGAGATGTTCTCCAAGCTGTAGGAATGATTATTAAAATGGCAAATGTGGAATGCTTTATTGCATCAACATATGTATATGTGTAATAATATAATAGTAATTAACTTCATCTTCCACCTTCATATCTCTTCTACATAACAATGCACAGGATGACTGCAGCCTGGTGGGGATATTGCCCTACTCATTCCACTGAAATCCATATGTCAATTGGACAACTTCATTGGATAACTCCATCTGTGACTTCATTGGGGTGTGCCAATGAAGCTGAAGGAGAGGAGATTCGGGACAGAAAAGATGAGGGGAAGAAGTAAAGAGTAAAAATGTTTGCTTTTATGCCATAACTTTTATGGGAATTATAGTCCAGTTAAATTGCCTTTAGGGGCCTCAGCAAGTGGTTAAAGTTAATAACTTTCTTCTAAAACCATTCTCCCAACTTAATATGAGTGCACATAAGTTTCTATGTTTGAAAATGCAGAAACTTTATTAAATAACCTCAGACTTAATTAATGTAAGGCGGCCAACTGCACTAGCCTTTTATTCTGATACTTAGATATTTGGTTCACTTCCACATCATAGGATGTATTCATTGGCATACTCCTATTGTAGTTTCTCCTTTGTTTTGAATTAACAACTTGATAAATAGGAGAAGGGAGGCATACTACTGTATGTGATGTATATTTGAGAAACTTATAAAGTAATAAAGGTGGGATAAAAATCAATCAAATAAATAAATATTCTCCCAGTTTGAGTACCAGAGTGGGTCTTATGCTGTATACGGCAAGCACAAACTGTATTTTAGAACCAACTTTACTACACAGTTGCCCAAACCCTTCATTTTCATAAAGCAATCTGAAACGGTGCAGTGACCTTACACTTCTCCTATAATACTATATCCGGAGATTTGATTTTAATATAAATGTAGTGTATATGATAAATAAAATATAGGTGACTTTTTAAAGCTCTACCTACTTCTCCTGCAGTTATAGCAACATGTATTTATATAAAATAGCAGATTTGGACTCTATTTTTTACTATATGTCTCAAACAGTGATTATCCTTGTAAAAAAATATTGGCATAGCTGTGTCTTAGTAAAGAAAGAGGGCTTGATGCAAAATCTGCCTTAGGGAGAGTAATCTTGGGACACTGGGCCTCACAACCCTCTTTTCCTTGTACAAGATATTGTCCTAAATTGTAACCTATTGCAAAAGCCAGTGAGAAAAATTGGTACCTGCTGCTTTTAAAGCAAGACGAAGTTCGTGGGAAGACATTGTGCCACACTGATCAGAATCAAAGTGAAGGTAGAGGCTCTGAATCAAAGACAGAACAATTGAAAGCAAATAATAAAGGGTTGGGATAAATTAAATGAATCATTGAGGTAAAGAGATTTTCTTTTGAAGTTGTGAACTAAAACAAAACTTTAGCTTTTTAATAAAACTTGTTAATCTGAAAAACGTACACCAGATTCTTTCTGATTTTTGAATAAATAGACTAATATGGCTCTCTGCCTACATTTTTTTTTAAAGTAATGTTTTTGCCAGTTCTTGCAAGTTGGTCTGAACCGCTCTTTATAAGAATATATGACTATGCAAACTGTTAGATAAAAATATCTAGTATTGGATTTCTATTCAGCATTACACTTAATAGTAGACTATAACCTTGTTCTCATCCTGCTTATGCGTTCAGGTAAGAATACTAATTTAGATTGGAATAATATGGTATAATAATCCAACTGCATACAATATTTAATCCTTAACAATATTTAACCCTCCATCCCATTGCTTTGATTGAATCTGGGGTAAAAGATGGCAAGTAGCAGACAGCACATATTCAGTCAACAGGGATGTAACAGGAACCCAATTATTGCAATTTCCTTAAAAACATGCCTGGAGTTAAAAGAGAAAAATAATGATTTATCATGGTAACTTATTTTAGGAATTGTGAGAAAGCATTCAAATGCTCCTTCAGATTTTAGGGTTAATGTTCCTGTGGATCTAATGGGCCATTTCAAATTACATGTGTTGATAATTGGAGGAGACAGGCATCAAAATCACCAGTATAAATTGAGACATTAAGAAAGTCCCCCCCCCCTCCTGAATCAGCAGAGTTTCTTTTTACAATGTGTCAACAACAAGAGATATTTCACTTGGCCTCATCTAGAGGAACATTTCTGGCATTTATTACTTCAAAAATAGAGTTTTTATTTAGTCAAAAGTACTATTAATGTTTCTGCAAATGGTATGAATAACAGAAAAGAAACACTATTTTGTAAAATGATTGTTTTTTTTTTCTTTTAGAACATTCTCACTAAATTATAGATGTAATGGTAGTTAATCGTTTCTCCTCTAAAATACCTTCCCAAACACCTAGTAAAACAGTAGATTTTGCATCAGTTGTCTGTGCATCAACTTACAATCCACTTTTTCAGATTGTCCCAGAAAATTTTGAATTCATTGAATTCCAGTTTTCCATTCCCACTGGACTGATGTAGTTCCCATTAAGGAAAACAGTAATGGCAGATTAAATCTCATATATAATCTCAGTATCCTATTTCATGAATAGTTTTATTTTATACAATTTAACCTGTTGAATTAATAGACTGTTTCCATAGATGAAGCTGTTCTTTTGTATTAAAGACTCTACCTGTAGAATCATCTTTCTAGCCTTTTTTCCCCAAAGCCAGTGTTCTACCACAGAGAAACACTGGATTAAAATTGAGGTGTTACTCCCAACTCTGGATTCAAGAAATGCCCTACACAATGGAATGCAATAGGCCAGTGGTGGCAAACCTATGGCACGGGTGCCAGAGGCGGCACTCAGAGCCCTCTCTGTGGCCACGCGCGACATCACCCCAGTCCTAGGCCTTCAGCTGGATTTTATAAAACCGTTTCGCTTTAGGCCTCCGCCACCATGTGCAAAAAAAAAAAAGGTTCAATCAGTCAATTTCAACTTCTTGCGGGAAAAAAAAGATCTTGCAAAGTTGGAATTGATTGATTGAACTTTTTAGTCCCACCCAGTCTGCCGTTACCACCGCAGCCACGCCCACCCAATGGGCCACACCCACCCAATGGGCCACACCTGCCCGGCACTCGACGATGCATAAGTGGGTTTTGGGTTGCAGTTTGGGCACTCAGTCTCTAAAAGGTTCGCCATCACTGCAATAGGCTATGACTAGACTAGATCAACTTGGGCAGAAGGAAATGCTGAGACTCTTGTGCCATAACTCAGGAGCTCAAGGAATATAAGAGTTTGGAAGCTTGTTGAACTTTGACCCAAAACATCTGCCTAGCATCTTCTCTTGTTCTCCCACCATCTTAAATCTGTTATTTGTCTCAAGGACCTTGGAATCTGTTGAAACACACTCTGCTTCCCCTTATGTTCTGCCTTTATTTTCTTCGGCTCACTACTACTTTCCCCTTTTTTTTATACTATATACTGAATATGGTTGACCATGAAAGAAAACAGTGATGAATATGTATCTGTGTATGCTTTGTACTTTACTGTAAAATAGTACCTACTGACTTTAATAATCTGTACTTAGGGAGGAGGAGGAGGAGGCTAGGTGTGTGTTCAGAAAAGGTGCTTATATCTAGCTATGCCCATTCACCAAATAGCACTGGTGGAATTGATTCCTTCTCCTTTGCATCATCTTCCAAATCTATTCCAGAAAATCTGGAAACTTTCAAAGAAGATTTAGAAGGGAAATAAAAGATTGCCTTTGGGACAAGTGAAAGAATAAAGGGTGNTATTCTATTCTATTCTATTCTATTCTATTCTATTCCATTATCAATAGCAATAAAATGCATCTAGAGTTTCAATAATATACTGGAAACAAGCATCTCTTACATTAATTGGATATCAGCATTCAGGTTTTCTTTCTTTTTTTTGTCTGAACCTACAATATAGAAACATGCTCTTCCAGATGTTGAGGTATTCAGAATCTCACTGGGCTGCATCCATCCTGCACATGTCTCTATCTAATAAGCAAATGTTGTCACTGTCACTTTATTTTCCTATTGGGGTGGAATTGTCTGGGTCAGAAATAGCATTCTTCATTGGTACTTTGGCTCAAGTAGACCTGATTGAATCTGCTCAGGAATAGGACTTTTAATGTGTCCAGCCTCCCTAGCAGCTATAAAACAAACCACTATGGAAGAATAGACCACAACAGATGGAGAGGCGACAGTGTTATGATCATCTGGACACTAGAGGATAGCTGATCTCTGAGGTTTCCTCTTCCACATGTCCAAGAGTGTCTGCAAAAAAAGGTGGATTGCTACAATGGCAGAGGAAACACTGCTTTTATGCTAGAAATCTTAAATCAGCTTTAATTTGCCTCCACAGCAGATTGCTGTTGAGATGGAGGACATGTTTTGAAGAGACCCAGGTTGCTGGGGGTATATCTGTGCTCTGGTGAACAGGGCATGTGGATAAGCTAAGAGAGGGGTTTTGTTTTGTTTTGTTTTTCATTAAGCCAGGATTAAACCTAGATGTTTTACATGAAAAGCATACACTCTGCCAGTAAACTATCCAAAATTCTAATAAGATCTATCATTTTTATTAGTTGACTTGCCGGTCCTGAAATCTGCTTAAACAAATCTCGGAATTGCTTTTCTTCTTCTGTTTCTTCTTGGGGTTGTGTTGGCTCAGGAACCTGAAATTGCCCATAGATTATTAATGGAGAAACAAACAAACAAACAAACAAAAATCCTCATTATTTGTATTATCACACTTCAGATTAGATCCATTTTTAGAAAAAGCGTGTATTAATATGCTGTGCGATAGATTCTGTCATTCTTTAATTTAACTGGTATTGTACAACTGAAAAGAATAATAATTTAATGATATGATTGATTTGGTCCTTAATTAGATTTTGGTGACATACCTCTGGCAAATCAATGTTGACGTTTCCATCCATCTCCCTATAAAACATGAATCCAGTTTTTAAAAATCTGTCTTTCCACTGGAATTTTATAAGAGAAATCATATCACCAGGATTAGTTCCAATGGAAAAGCAGTTGTAAGCTTCTATTCTGACATTCAACATTAGGAAGCTATTATGGCCTACATTAAAAGAAATGTTAACAGCAGATGCCAGGATAATTTCCTGGTAACAACAAGATTGTTCTCCAATGAATTCATAAATCTATATTTTTTTACATCAGAGAATGCAACTATGCGCTCATCCTCCTGCACTCTGGAGCAGTAGAGCAAGATCTTAAAAGCAGGTAAAACTTAGTGGACATTGGCATAAGTCACCTTCACTTAGGAGTTGGANTTCTTTTCTTCTTTTCTTCTTTTCTTTTTTCTTTTGTTGATTGAAGAATATTTTCATGCCCTTTGAAGTTCAGCTTCTAAATTCCTATACCTATTTATCATCCCACCATTTAGTCATCACTTTATAGATCGTTTTATACTTTGATTACACGTGCTGCATTATAGCACTAAATATAGGAGCTGCTGAACATGAAAATCCAATATCGGTTGCCTAATTATTTTTGGGAATATTTTGTTTCTGTATATTTATTACTTTTATATTTTTAAGTAATAAAACAATCAAAAGGACCTTTAGACAGCATCTCATTGAAGCTTAAGCCAAAGATGCTTGCATTTTACTCTCAGCTCATGAATTAATTTGACCTTAAAAGGCCATTGCAACCTCAGATGGTAGAACCAAGCACTTTTATTTTACAACTGTTTTACAACTATGGTCACAACTAGGTGAAATAAAGAGTTAGCCAGAGGGGACCCCCATCTTATTCATGAACTCACTTCAATAAGTGTCTATGGAGATTCTCAATCATCCACTTCATGGTTGTTCCAAAGGTGCTTTTCCAAAAGGCAACTGGATTTCCTTGTTTTTTTCCTTGAAATTTTGCTTCTCATCCAGGAAGCTTCTTTAGTTCAGAAAGTCCAGTTGTCTTTTGGAAAAATACCTTTGGGACCACTTCAATAAGGTTGAGACAAAGTCAGTATTTGCAAGTATGAAATGCAAAAAACAAACAAATCCAAAAACCTAAGCCACAAATAAAGTGGCTTGGAATCAAGAGCCACTTAATTTGTGGTTTAGTTCTTTGCATTTCATACTTGCAAATACTTGCAAATGCTTGTCTCAACCTTATTGAAATGGTCCCAAAGGTAATAGGGAAGGAAATACTTTGGGGCCATTATCACCTGCCCGGGAGGGCTCAAATAGTGCCTAAACATTGTAGATCAGCTTTCTCCAGCCAGCACATTTCAGAAAAGTTCTAGGGCTTGGAATTTCTGCACATCTGGAAAGGCCCAACTTGGAGAAGGGAGTTCTCCGTAGAAATACCTCATAGATAACATATCCTATTGTTAGCAGTGCAGCTCCGAGTTGCCTGAGTTTACGGCGATTCTTCTGCATCAGGGCAGCTACAAACGTGCATTCATCTTGATCCTCATCTTTTTCTGTCAATTGGAGCATGAACTGGGGATTGGTCCAAAATGTTTCTGAAATCAGCCAGCAAAAAGGAGATTGTGGGTGGTTTATTTTGCAACAGCAAGATACTGGCCCATCACCACTGAAGGCTACTCATCACACAAGGACAGATAATGTCCTCTTTCTCCCACTCCCAGCCCCCTTTTTTATTTTTTCCTGTCCAATTTTGTTATTTCTGCCATCTTTCTTCTGTTTTGTGTTGCTCCATTGTTCCTGTGCTGATATTGTCCAGCGTCAATTGAAAGCTGCCTCTTTACATCAAGGAGTGGTCTTAAGCCCTTCCAAGAGGATGTTCTTCAACATTTCATTCCATTCTAATAGCAGCCTCATCTCTGATTAGTTGCAGTGTCAAACATCCCCCCTCCAGCTGTTCTCGGCTGCCAGAGGTTTGTGTTCTCCGCTTGTTGGCTGTTGCATTTTTAAAAAATAATCCTGCAATTGATCCAGTAAATGGCCCATTAAGTGAATGAACTATGCTCAACCCTAGAAGCTCATGTTTCATTCAACCCTTACATCTTCTAATAGGCACATTTTTAGTTCCTGTCCAGACTCAATGAATACATTCCTTGATTATGAGAATAAATTTCGGGAATGCATTATGGGGGGAGGGGGTAAAAGCAGAGAGAATCCATTGTATCTCAGTGTCCATTCTGCTATAGGTCACAGGGCATACATTTTAAAACTGCTATGACCAAGGAAATGTTTGCTGGCATAGCTATGCATTTTCTTTAAATTTGCACCAAGGAAAATCTAGAAATGATTACATAAGCAGTTTCAGTAGTTAGAACGAAGCTGCAGGATACCCATATAACTGGACATGAATTTGAGTTTGGCTCTTGTAAGTTGCTTATTATATCTATCTGGGGTTTTTTTATAAAATTTTGAAACATTCATATACAGCATCAAAGAATTCTACAACAATTTTTGCTCACAACAAAAATCTGTTAAAAGTGCCACAGCCTTTCTCTGAAAATATGCAATTGGGATAAAACAAACATGCAGACCTATGAAATTTCGGCACCCCCCAGCAGTGGCACCTCTGACCCAGCTGCCTTGGTGAATGGACACCTCCCATTTATGAGCAGCATTGTCTTCAAGGGCATCCGGTGTGAGGTTACAGATCTCAACTTTGTCAAAATGGGACAGGAAATCTTCAAACTTCATCCTATGCATGACAGAAAGAGAAATAATTCTGTGGATTACTGGAACTCCAGTCAAAAATCATATTCAAGCTACTTTTTTATTGAATGATTTAGCTGCAGCTCTTAACAGCGATTTTAAGTATTTTAGAGCAAAATTTTGAGAATTGAACTGGCCCCTTTAATTACAGGTGCATATCTGGATTTCTACCACTAGATGGCAGTAATGGCTTATGGGTATGTTGGCGCTCTCTGGGTTTGTTCGTTTGTTGTGTTTGCTTGGTTGTAGCAAACAGCCAAGCTCGAAGAGCATCACACTTTCTGAGCTGCAGATATCCGCTTCTATTGGTACTTATGGAGATCTCTATCTCTGATCTGAGTTGGACTCTAGCTGTGCAGTCCAGTTAAGGCAACTAAGGCATGAGCTGGATGGAGTACCTGTGAGAATTTGAGCCTGAAAAACCCAAGGAAGTGAACAGAGGTTGTGAGTAGGATCACGTGTCCATTACATTCTTTTTTATTATTATTATTAAAAGTTTTATAAAGTTTACAATATAAATCCCCCCACCCCTACAACCCCTTTCCCCCCCACTTCCCAGAGCTGTTCACAAGGTTACAAATAATAATCATAATCTAAATAACATAAACCAACTAATTATATAACCAAATCTATAACACTGTAACTCATTTTTAAAATAAATTTAAATAAGTTAAAATTAAAATTAAATACATTATTAAAAGAAGAAAAAACAAACTAGTAAACAACACTACTAGTCGAAATTATAATAAAATCATACAAGCTATTATGCAAGCACTTAATAAAATAATAACAATAAGAATATTTTAAAATTTTACCCAAAAGCCAAATGGAACTTTTCAGTCCCATATTTTTTTTTGAATATAATCTATCCATCTTCTCCATACCAAAATATAACTTTCATATGACTGATCCTTCAAATAAGCAGAAATCTTAGCCATTTCCGCTAAATTTGACACTTTAATCGACCATTCTTCTACAGTGGGCAAACCATCCGTCTTCCAATATTGAGCTACCAATAATCTTGCAGCTGTTATAAGATTCAACATCAGATTCATTTCTTTGGCATCCAAATTTCCCATAATACC